AAAACGTGAAAGTTTTCCTAGGGATTCAGTCAGTTTAGTAGGTGCGATAACGTTTCTTTTTTTTTTTTTTAATTAAGATGCTATGAGTCTTAGAGTGTGGTGATAGTCTCTCTCTTCATACCGCAGTGTTATTCCTACTGTATTCTGGAGACATATACCTGAACTAATTCAGGGTATGTTTAGCAATTTCTTGCGTTTATAAGAATTCAAGAGTTTACATCATCATTTAGTTGAGTTTTTTTGAGTAGATTGACAGGTGTTCCCCCTTCCCACAGCTGAAGCTAAATTTAGGTATGAAAAAATATTTGCACCATTCTTAGTCCAAGTGAAAATTAGTCTGTTGTTTTAAATAGTTAAAAAGCTATGAGCAGTGATGCCTTGCCTGATAACAAAGCATATATATTGCAAAACGTGAAGACCAAGACAAAACATGCAGAAATCTAAGTTTTATTTGTACTGTTTATTTTGCAAAATAAATGACCACATTGTTTTGTTATTTCTATAATAATAAAATTAGCATGTTGAGCTTTTTGTCTTTAAATTACTTATCTTAAACCATTTTAGAAATAAAGCAATGAGCAAATTCTAGTAGTTGGTGGTCTTGTGGAATATTGCTTAAATAGCCCATCTGATTTCAGTGGAATGTTGTGTAGAGTAAAACAAATTGATAATAAGTAAGGGTAGCAAAATTGTGGTGTTTGACAATTATAAAATATCTCTTATATCTATCGTAAAACTTTAAAAAAAAAAAACAAAAAAAACCCCTAGTTTTTCCCCTTATTCTCTTGCATAGGTCTGCACTGGTGTTTCCCCTAGGAGTAACAGATAGAAAAACTGAAACTTCAGCAAACTGCTCTATTAAGAATGTACTGGGAATTATGTTATTTCTGTCTTTAGAAGAGACAGAATTATATAATTTTTGACAGGTCTTTATAGTACAAGAAGTCTTGTATCTTGATTTAACACATCCCAGCTTTCCCTTCCTTAAGGCTGTGTTGCAGAGTTTACCAAGGATTGCTGAATGCCTTCACAGTGCTTACTTTTTTTTTTAATTGTTATTATTCTAAAAGATTTCTTGAAACAAAGAGTGCCTCGCAAATCAAGCTGGTGAGCACAGCGAGAACTGGATAGCCTAAACTATCCTGTAAAAATTAAGTAAACTTTGTTTTCTACTAGGTGGATATTCACCATTTAGTTCATATGGTGTCAAGCATTTGATGTTGCGAAACGCCTTTTTTTTTTTCTGTGCAACATGTGATTATCCTTCTTTTAGTGCTGATGCAAAGTGATCTCTTTAATTTGTAATTTGAAATTTCTTTCAGGGAGAGGAAAGCCTGTCAGTAGTTGTGGACCCATACAGCTGATCAGAAGATGCAGAGCCTCTTCTTAGTCCTTCAGATACCACCCTGTGTAGCAAAGGCTGAGTCCTGGGAGTTCTCTCCCAACTGAGTCTGACTTGAGGGTAGTGGGGGAAGGTGAGGGAAGAAGGAAGACATTTCCGTAAAGACTTTTCAGGGCTCTGAAAGGTTTTAGAAACATATTCCACAACCGAGGTATTTGTTCCCGTGCACAGGCTTCCATGGCGCAGGATAGGAACGTTTTGTTGAGAAATTACTTAGGAAATTAATTAATTCTTCCATTAAAGTGAAAGTTTAAAAATAGTAGGAAAAATTTAAAAAGGCATTGAGGCATCTGTATCAAAGTAAAGCATTTTATCCACTAATTATAGCATATAAATTAGAGTTTAATTCCAGTTCACCACTTAATGTTGTTCATTATCTGAAACAGTTCACGCATTTTATGAATTCCTGTGTTTAAGTTTCTTAAATACCGCATGCAGTAGCAATTCACAAGGCTAACATTTGTAAAAACTAATTAAAGGGGCTGTACTCAGCATCTGGTTTTCAGAGCAAAGGTAAAGGTAGAAGCTGCTGTTTTAGAGTTTGGACATTCTCTTTAATGGTGTCACATTCAAGAGTGAAATGTTTTTATTTTACTATTTCATAATATAGATTTTCTTTACTTGAACATAGTCTTGGTTGGCTTTATTAAAATTTACTCTATTGGTATTGGAACAATTACAGTGAAGTACTGTATGTTTTCTAGAAACTATAGTTATCTAAGCATTATGCTGATTTTTGTCATTATTCAGTATCTATCTTTTCAGTTTCTCTGTGATGCTTTGATTTTTAAGAGTCATTTCACCTCTGAATTATTTGACTTTCTTTGTAAAAGTCTGTTCTTAAAATCAGGAACTGCAGTTTGTTGCACTACAGAGAGTAGTTGTTGTTTTAACTTTGAAGTTAAATTTAAAAAATACAGAAGCTGCTGTTTGTTTAGCAAATATAAATTGAGTGTGGGGGGGGTGCGTGTCTGTCTGTCTGTGTGGCTTTAGAAAGTCTCGAGTGTCATGTAAGATACTCCTTTATGGTGTACAGCTGGAAGCCTTAAATATTTATCAGATGACTTTTCTACATATGTGCATTTTATCACTATCCCTGAACAGGCACATAGCTTTGCTGTCCCTGAAAGCAGTATAGTGGAATAGAGGTGAATAAACCTGGAAAGACTGTATTCCCTCCAGGATTTGCCTCGGCTGCACTGATTGGGCTGTTAAGAGAAGTTGGTCCCAGGGTTATTTCTGCATGAGCGTACTCTATAGGAAGCTCTTAGAAATGGTCAGTTCAGGCCCTCTTGGTTTTCAAAGCAGACCAAGGCTCTACTGCTGTCAATCTACTGATGGATCACCACGTCAGTAGTGTCACTCAAAGAAAGGTTATGGTTTTTCACTCTTAAGATGATCCCAATCTCATCTGTGAATTACTTGTATTTGCAGCATGGGTTTAAATTTATGTTCAGAACTGGAGTTATTACACTGATGACTTGAACTTTTTCTTTGGGTAGTCAATTTCCTGTGAAAGAAAAAGTCTAATGTTTTACATCATCTAGAATTTGCAAAGAATAACTTATTTTTAGCTTTCTGCATTTTATTCCAGAAAGATAAGTGCTCGCTTTCCTGGAACATGCCATTGTGGATGAATTTTAGTTATGTGTGGTTGTCTGTCACTTCTGAGAACTCTTTCATTTTTTAAAATGGGCATTTCCCTCTTTCCTGGGCGTCGTGAGTTTTTTTTTTTTTTTTAAGCTTATAAGGCAGTTTGAAAATAGCGTTAAATCCATGCACTGTGTTAACTTTACTGCGGGAAGCTTCTAATCTGAGTCACTCAGCATTTGTCCCGAAGATTCAGTTATTTTTGTGTCTTTGCTGCTTACAGACAGGGGAACATAAAGTAAGCCTGGGCCTTTATAGAAGAACTTGGAGAAAAATGTCTAAGAAACATTTAACATCTAACACATTTAACAGTGTTAGACCAAATGACTGATTCCAGTGGAGTCAGTACCTTCAAAATAGCACTGAATTTAGTGCCCTTCTCTGGTCAGTTGATGACCACACTGAAGACAGGGATTGTCTATGGAGTGTGTGTAGCAGAACTTGGTACTTCCCTTGATATAAAGTACCAAATACATTTAATATAACAATACCGTAGCAGCAGTCTTTCATATGTAACAAATTAATAACTCATAATTTTAATGAATACAAAAATTAGTGATCTAATACACACATTGAAGTTGTCCTCATTGATATTTTCTGTTGAACAGAGGTGAAACAAAGGGTCATTATTGTGAAGTTTGGTTAAAAGAATTAAAGGCTGAGACAATACTGAGCTTCAAAACCAAAGAAAATTTTTTAAAGTATAAGGTTTTTATACACTTACTTAATGTGCTATATATTTTTGTAGGTTTGAAAGTGGAAGAAAACAAAACTGAGATTATTTCTCATTTTTAATTTCTCCTTTTTAACTAGGTCCTTTCTGATGTTGCTTCAGCTGCTGACTAAACCTTTTCTCAGTTGAGTTAGTACGGGGGGGGAGAGGAAGGGGAAGAATGCAGTGTCTGGGAAAAAAAAAAACCATAAAAGCTTTCATTACACCTTTATCTTAAGTTCCTTAATAGTTGAAGTTCTTGGAATTGAGAATGCAGTATGCTTGTTAAAATAAAAAGTTTGATTTCTTTCCTCCCCCTCCCTTCTCTGTAGCCAACTGTACACCCTATTTGGCTTGAATTTTCCTGGAGAACGTTGCCCTGAAGAGCATAGTTGAGTAGTTGGAAAGTTTGGAACTTGTTACTTTGGATCTTGCCACGAAAGGAAGAACAACACCGCACTAATGCACAAATTACTGGAAATACAAATTACATGTTTATTGGCTAATAATTTTGCAAAGAGCATGTGTATTTTAAACTTTTCACTTTAAAGATTAGTGAAATTAAATGTTAAATTTAGTTAATGTTTGATTAAATTTGTTTTGAAGAGATAATTTGTTTAAAAATATTTTATTAGCTGTAGTAGTAGCTTATTTTTAGTGTTGAAATAATTTGCTCTAATTCCTACCCTTGTACATTGAGTCTTGGGCAGAATTTTTTTAGTTTGTATTGTAAGTAATAAATCTTAAGCAAAGCTTTAAAAAAAAATCCAACTGGCTACTCTGCCTTTTCATAAATAAACAGAATTCCCAATATTTCATTCCTCAGTCTAATGTAATACTTGAATACCACACTCAGATTTGCTTCTGTAACTTAATGCAAAATTTTACAGGAAGACCACATTCAATAAAATATTTGCTTCTGGTATAGTATCACACCAATAAAGGACTGGTATGTTGAAGGGCTTTATGTCAACATAGCAACAGGCTGTGCCAGGAGCACTACTGCAGTCATTGGGGTTCACTGCTTTAGCTAATTCTTTGAGACAAAAATGGACAAAAATCTTAACACATACAGATTCCTTGTACCTTTACGTACAGCTCGGTAAGTTGCATTTCCTGCTGTTGGCAGGTCCCTGCTGCAGCACGTGGGTGCTCCCTGCCTTCAAGGCCACGCGCTCACCCGGGTTGTCCTTCGGCACCCGCAGTTCCACTTGCAGTAGCCATGTTGAACAGCAGCTTGCTCACTCTCTAATCAGGCCGTGTTCTTCTGAAAAAAAAAAAAAAAACATCATTTTACATAAAAACTATTTTCACTTTGAAGTTTAAAGTTTTTAAATCGGGTATGTGTAATTCATTTTGAGTAAGCTATCTTTATTTCTGTAGCTTGACTACTTAGCGCTGCTCAGTAAAGTGCTTTATTTATCGAATGACAAAAGAATAAAGGTCAGGGTTTTTTTTCCTGAAATGAGTACAGTGGATCAACCTTCTTTTTAAATTTGGTTTATAGTTTCAATTTCTGGCCAAAGTATGGGCCAAGTGGCATATGTTAAGAGTCTAATGGCCTGACCTATGCAAATGTTGGTTGTAAGCTGTTTTGTCTGAAAAGCGTTTGTCAAAAGCAAATATTATGTAGCCAGAAAACTATGCAATGGAAAGATTTCTTTAAAGTTGAATAATTTTTCTTAAAGCAGTCAGCTACTGTGGTCCTATACGTATTTTAGTTAAACAAACATGTTACACCAGTATATATACATATATATATATATTTTTTTGGCTGTTAATTTAGGTGCAGTTATAATAGTTAAGCTTAATTTGTATTTGATATTAGATACATAGTAACTGTTTAAGCGTTGTAATTTTTAATGTTGAAATCATGTGTTTGACTTCTGTACTTGAATTTGAACATTGATATTAAATTTATGCTGTTAGTATTTGGTGTGTGGCCATTGTTCTAAGATTAATCTTTCATGTGGTACCTTCAGGAACTTACTTTGCAGAGCTCACTTTCCTTTCACTAGTAGCCAGCTTTGAGCAGGGGCTCCAGTTCAGGTACTTTGCTGAACAGAAGGAAGTATAATTAAGTGGCTAGTTGAAATGTTGTTTTTTTTTTTTTTAAAAAGCATGTTTGCTTAATAGCTTCCATCATGATCAAAAGCTGTTAAACCCTCTGATTTCCTAAGAAACTCTGCTGAGAGGAAGGGGGAATGGGAGCTTGCTTTGCTTTGTATTTAAACTTCAGTGACAGGACCCTGAGGCTAAAGTAAAATTCAGTGTTTGAGACAGAATAACATAGTGTTGATACAGGATGAGGGGAAGTAATTTCAAGGTATTTGTGCCTGTCAGACAGAATTCCAGCCTACAAACTGCAAAAATGAGCTGTATTTTTATTTGTTGAGAGTCTTGTTTAAGTTTTTTTTTATTGTAACTTTTTAAAATAGACACCTTGCAAATATGATAAACTTTATGTGCAAAAAGAGACTTCATAAAGCAGAATATCCTGTAGTACTTCTAATGGGAGTCTGGGCCAACCAACTCTTGGTACCACAAGAGTTGTTGGCCACTTGCGGGGACCCTGCAAGAAGGTTGGAGGGATGGTGCAGCCCTGGAGCGTGGTGGCTCGCAGAGAACAGAAGCAGTTATGGTCAGTGCTGCACCAAGCTGAGGGATTATGCTTTTCAGTTTTGCAGCCTCCTCCATGCTCAGCTTTTAGACCCTACTCCCACCGTTGAAGTAGTTTCATGTAAAAACCAGTTTTGATAGAAATAACTGAGCAACTCCTATCATCAGTAACATAAGCATGTTGTTTGTCAATTATTTTTAAGTATTCCCAGCAAGTGTCACTGTACAAAACCATGATCAAAAGTTTGAGCGTAATGAAACCTGTGTGGCTATATGCCAGCTACAGCCCTCAGCCAGAATTTGGGTCTTTGTTTTGCAGATAATATCAAAGGTATAAGGAATAAGCAGCTGAGGAAGCAGTTGAACTCAGTTGCTGTAATTCAGTGTTTTTGAAGTTTATTTAGAACATGCCATTAAAAATCTCTAATCACTGCAAAAATGCAAGCATATTTTTTCAGATTTTTGAGAGTCTCACTGGAGCTTATTAACCTTCAGGAAAAAACACAGACGTATTTCTTTTTAAAAAACTGTGAAAAAAGGAGAAATGATGTCTTTTTTTTTTTTTAAACAGTAATATTGTATCATGCTGGTCAAAAATGAATCCATATGCTCCCCTGTGCTACAATTGGTGTAAAAACCTAAAGCCCCTCTGAAAGTAGAGGTCACTAACTGCAGTGAAACAGAGGGTTGTCCAATTTCCTTTGCACTAAACCCATGGCATTAAAAAGCTGCCCTAAATTAAAAAAGGTTGTCATTTTTTTTCTTAGTTCTCTTTTCCATCTATTTTATTTCTTTATTATCCTGAGGTAGGAGTCAAGTCTATGCTACAGAGCAAGCATGCTGGGCATAGCAGCCTACTATCCCTAGGCACAAAAACAGCAGAGAAGAGGGAAAAAGTAGAG